CAATTTTTACATAATTTATCAAAGTGAATTACTTATTAGTGAAATGTCTCATTCTGTAATCTCACTAATAAAAGTCCACCTCTAACAAAATCTGCAGTACAGGACTTTATCCCGAATACAAATCTCAAGACAGTTGTTGATGCGTATAAAGTTTTCGTCTTATCTCGCACTTGACGCGTACTTTCGTCAATTAAGAGAAGGCGTTTGTCGTTCATTTGCTCTTTCTCGCACGAAATGTTTGAATATTTTTTTACTGATCAGTGCGACGGAAGTGACTTAATACAATTTACGATGACAAATAACAAGTCGTGTCTGTCGGTAATTCCTTCGTCCTAATTCTCGTTAACGTCCTTCTCAGGCTATGGAAAGAACAATTTTGCTGAGAATCTCAAAATTTAGGTAGATACAGATCTGAAAATAATTTTATTGGATCATAAAAATAATTATATAGGAAATGTAAGGCAATAAAAAATGTTGACATACTAGTTTGAGCGTCCTACATAATTATTTTGAGAATCCAACGATATTTTTTAAAACTTCTGACATGTAACTATTAGGTCCACATTTTATATTTTTGCACTATGTAATCGTTGATTGCATCCTTTGGCTGTTTCTTTAAAAATCTGACGTATTCTATATTAGAATGTTAGACCTTATACTTATGCTGATTTGTTTGCATGTCGGTTGTATTGCTTTAAACTATATTTGCCGCTTTGAATTAATATTTTAATCGCATGTACTCAATTTATTTGATAACCATCCATAGCTTTCCAAGTTACGGTTACGGGATAACTCTCCCTTGGGAGGTGACCACTTTATAGTAGGTATGATAGCATAATTCGATATGTGTCAATACACCGGTTTTTGCTTTATTCTTGACTGATGATGGCTTGAAATGATTTTAGTATCTATAGCTAAATTTTGAAATGTACTCGAACCGTTCTTTCCGTGTGAACCTGGTAATATGCGAACGCAGCTAGCTTGGCAGGCAATATCTCATTGAGCAAAGGAGGAGGTGACTTTAACGTTAGCTCTCTCGCACCCCTTCCGTAAGCAATCGCGGCTCAAGACGGGGCCGACGTGCCCGCCGAGAGAGTAAGATCGTTAATCTTGCCGCGCGCCGATCGAGCGCAGATAGTAATTGTTACGTTCTGCTTTCCTGTGGCCGACCGTTCGACCGTGTCCGACGAGCCTCCTCCGAAGACTCGAGTCCGTCCCTCTCTCGCACGTCTCTCTTCGCGTTCTATTTCCCACCTTTCTTATTCCACGTGCGTGCACGCGCTCGCTCGCTCGCTCGCACGTCTCTTTTCTTTTCGCGTCGTCGGGAGTCGCCGACCGATCCTCACCCACCGACAGCATTAACGCCTTCGGCGAGTCTGTTGGCGCTACAATGCCGATATCCGTTCGCCACTCTTCTGCCGACTGTGTTTGCGTTGAATCTCTTTAGCTTGTATAGCGACGACAGGTGAATGGAATCGCGCGTGCGGAAGTTGAATAGGCTGCCAAGTTGCACGAAAAGAACGGTGTACTAAAGTGTCTCAAAATTAACTATATAGACACAGATTTGAAAAGAATTTTGTTAGAGCATCAAAATAATCATGTAAGACACTCAATCTGCTTCCTGGAATGTCGAAACTTTTAGCAGTACCGCCAATTATGCTTAAACATCTTATATTTATTTCTTATTTAGTTATTTTAATTAATTTGATAACAAAAGTAAATTAAATTATGTTATTTTTTATAATAAATAAAAGTATGTAAAAACTAAATTTTTAGATACTTTTTTTCGCTAATTTTTAGAAAAGAAAAATTGACCAGCAAATTTTCTCTAAATTCGAATCGTTTGCTGTTGTTCAGGAAACGGGTGGGTCTCTTCTCTCAATAAAGAAACTAGCACGATCGCTATCCTTTATCCAGGCTCTGATTTCGTTATTGGGCATCCTCCATCTGTTTGAGCCGTCCACTTTCAGACGGCTCAAATTACTTGAACGCGTAAAATAATGGTCGCTCCCGCACATACCACTTGCAAGCGCGGGGCCCGTTTTTCGTATCATCCTAATGTCCAAGTCGTTTCATTCACGCGCTAGTAGAATCGCACAGAATTCCCGTTTTAGAGTCCGGCTACCAAAAGGAGATATGAGCGTGAAAAGGTACGTCGATTCGTCGTGTTAACGCCATTAACGAGTCCGCTCGTATTACATGCTCGGCGACGTCTCTCGTTTCTCGTCTCGCCTCTCCGGTCTTCCTTCGATCTCCCGTGTCCGTTGGCTCCGCGTTTCCTCGTCCTGCCGTGCGCATATCCTCGACTCTCGTGAAGCGTGTCCATAAATTCGCCGCTCGCGCTGACCGTTGACGCGGGCCACGATATCCGAAATGTCGCGCGGATCCAATGTTTTCGTCCTCTCAACGGCTACAAGCGATTCTGCTCGTGGAGGAAGAGTGTCGCCCGGAGAAAACCAGTTTCGCGCGCAGATTCCTTATTTGCGAGCCCGACGAAACCGTAGATTCGAGTTAATCGTCGATGAGCCTTCCCTCGTTCGCGCGCTTTTTTCTCCCCCTTTCCTTCCACCCACCCTCCTCTATCTTTGAGCATTCTTTAGGTTAGACGCACAACTCGCGTCTTCCGACTGGTCTCAGAATGATCTCCGTTGTCGAGGAAATGGATTTCTCCTGATGGCAGTGATTATGCGGTCAAGTATAAAAAACATTATAGTTGCGACAACTGTATACAAGTTTTAAATGTCGTATTCCTGTACGTGGAAAGAAATATTTTGCTGAAATATCTAAAATTTTTAATACTAAATATAGATTTGAAATTAACTTGGTTGGATATCATCAAAATAATTATGAAAACCACTTAAACTCCTTGTCAGAAAATTAACTTTGTAACTATTGTACAATTCTTTAATATGATTGGTCTTGTCTTCTAATTTCTCCTGAGGTTAACAACTCGTCACTAGATGTGAATGTATATAATTATTTATATTAAAAATTTTGCAACAGTCGCATAAGTTGTTTTTTTTTCGACTGAACGCAGCCACTGACAACAATGCTATAAAAAATTTTAACATTCTACAACAACTAATTTCAACGTCCTAAATAATTATTTTGCAAATAAGTTAAATAAAAATCATTATTTTGATGATCCCCAAACAAAATTATTTTTAGACAGACTCACATCTAGCCTACAATTTTGGATACTTAAATAAAACCGTTCTTTTCATGTAATTGAATAAACTATATATATGTTTTCATATTCTCTATAATTAATATTATTATAATTGTAAAATAGTTTATCAGCTATTTACATTAATTCTACATAACGTAAAATTTATTTACATTGTTTTTCTTTAAATGTAGACTTGACGTTCTTGCTCCGCGAATTTTAGTTTTACTGCATTTAAATATAGGTATTTAATGGAAATCTCAAAGCGCGAGAGAAAACACGCGATGTATGAATACTTTCATGGTAGATAACGCCCGTATGCATCCGCGAAGAGCAAAAGAAGAAATTATCATCCAGGATTATTTTCCAAATTTTTTCCACAGGAAATTGAACGTTATCTGACAAATTTGTGCTATGTACTATGGAACATTAAGCAGGCTAGATAATTTTACCTTTCTTGTACCGTGCTCGTTCCTTTTCTTCTCGCTATTGACAAAACGGCAGTTTAAGTACACGGCTGAACGGGCATGAAGACGATATTCGCGAGCAGTTTAATAAGAGATATACCACGGAAAGAGACTTCAGGTGCGCGATCCGTAGCGGAATATCTTGTACCGTGTTAAGAGATATGCGGAAATATATTCCACTGAAGATAATTGCCGTAGAGCATAAATCAGAGGGCACCTAAAGCAGCTTGCAATATCGATTACTTGACGTATTGATTATATATCGTATAAATATGTATGTACATATAATTCAGAGAACAAACAATTATTTTTTTTATACTTTATTGTTTTCAATGTTTAAGTTTGGGTAAATTTCAAGTAAAATTTATGTGTTTAAGTTTAAAGTAATTTTTGAAAACCATTTTAGAAACAAAGAGATTGTTTTTGTTCACGTCGCATGCTCCAATACACGCCAACGTGCTCCTACCATAGTTTCTACTCACTCTAAGCACGTTGGAAGTGAATAGGAGCATGCGACTTTAACAAATCCAAGCTGACGTTATTTGTCAACGTTTTGACGCCAAAATGACATCTTGTTTCTTGAGTAATAAATAGTTGGGATATTATATTTCACTGTGTCATTCATTTATTATTCAATTTAGGATTGGAAGGAAATTGATTCGCTAAATAAACGAGAGTATATTTATGTAAATTTATTTCAATATAACATATTTTATTGTGCGGATATTTGATGGCTCGCCAAAAACTGTTTTTCGGAGGATAGTTAGAAGGAGAATTTGGAAGAGTTTGCAAGAGAGAATTGGGTTGTGACGCCGCGTGTGTGGATATTTACAAACGGTTTCAGTTAAATAAACATTATTTTAACACAGTTTCATATAGAATTATCCGTGTTTCCGATTATTTCTATTTCAAATATCTAGTTAACGCATATTCCTAATTTATTAAAGATTCGCTAGGACTAGTTCCGAATGAGCTCGAACAAACTCATTCCTTCTTCGCGGTATATATTTTTATTTCCTACTCGCACGAATGGCTTCCCAGGTAGATTTGAGCGATCTAACAGCGTTTGCTTTTGTCACGCGATATGCATCGATCACTTATCTAATCAACAATAATAATTACAATGACATTGATGACGCGACGTTGCGTTTCAATATTATACAGTTCGCAACACTTATTCGCATTCGCGATCGTAAGAAATCGTTCATGTTCATTATATAATAAGCAGTTCCATAGATATTAAAAACTTGAACCAATAGAGAGAAGAGCCGAGCCCGACAATAATGAGAAGAGAAGAAATATAAGATAAACACATACACGGTGCCGCATCTGATGTTACACGTTGATAATTATCGATTCGAGTCCGCTGAAGATGCAGCACGTTATCTGCAGCACTTGATCACTCGCGTGCTGATACGTCGATTCCGGATCGATGTTTTGCGGTTTACTAATATCTACTATTTTTCGTGATTTTTTTGTACTTGGCGCACTTAAAAAAAAAACATTTTCGTCACTTTTACACTCTTATCGGTCAACAATAGATTAAAAAAAACTGTGCAGCAACACACTTTGAACACTAGTAGTTATCTGATCCACGCGATTTGTGTGTGTCCAGCCAATATTTTTTCAATTCAATAAAAGCTGTAATGCGACCGCTTGATTTTTTTTTCTTTTTTTGCGAAAACATCACTTCGGATCCACGTCACTCGAAATCAAAACTAAGATATCACACCTCGTTCAGCGATCATGCTTCGTCAGTTCCAACGGTTGTTGGTCAGTCCAATGATCTCTCCAAGCGACCGGTGGCGATGACGGTACGTCCTGGTCGGAGTCCTGAACGTCGATCTCCTCGTCTTCGTCCTCGTTTTGATCGTAGCGTATCCTATGCGCCGATCCTGGACGCGGACCAAGACCAGATGATTGCCGCTGATCGTACACGGGACTGGTCGGTCTCGAAAGACCGGACGAGTCGTCACCCACTAGTTGACTGATCATCCGGAAGGCGCTAGGTTTCCTTTCCGGTTGCTTCGGTACTGACTCGTGCCTGTCGATCCTCTCGGGTCGATCGAGACCGGTGTCCCTGGTTACGGAATTAGCGACGACCGCGCGAAACGCGCTACTTTCGCCGCCCATGCCGGCGATGGAGCAGCTGGACGTACGCTGGCCGATAGTGGACGTAGCGGAGTGCGGTTGCTGCGGCGGCGGCTGCGGCTGCGGCGGTGGTGGTGGTGGTGGAGGCGGTGGTGGCGAGCGCTTTAAGAGGTTCATGCGCTGGTGACGACGCCACTTTGCCCGTCTGTTGGAAAACCAAACCTAAGAGTCACGAGTTAGGTCGTTAGAACGCTCGTGATCAAGTCGGACTGGAACGAAGCGACCGTAGTCCGCAGGGTCTTCTCCAATGTAAATGTCGAATTAGACCCTGCGTCGTCGCATCGGCTCTTTATCTTTATCTATTGGTAAATCCTCACCTGAACGCGGGCTTCCGAGAGCGACGTTTTCGAGGCGAGACGTTCGCGCGTCGACACACACGGGTAATGCGATCTCTCGAATTCCTTTTCGAGTTCCTCGAGTTGTTCCGGGCTGAATGTCGTGCGGTTACGCCGGAACTTTGGCTGCTCCGAACCATCTAAGCTTCCGTCATCGCCGTCGCCATCTGTACATTCATAGAAATACGTTTTCTATGGACTGTGCGTTTCTGAATACAGCAGCCCAAAAATAATTAACATTTTCTATATTGTTCAACTACTTAATAAAATTAAAAAAATATACATATATACTCTATAACTTCTAAATAAATACAAAATCGAGAAAATTTAGAATATGTTTTACATACATGATTAATATAAAAATATTCTGATTTTTCTACAAAAAAAAAAAGAAATATAAAATAATATATTTTAAAAGATTTCAACATGGCCGCCGCGACTACTCAGGAGCCTTAATGGTCTTGAATGGATGTTTCATTGAGCGTTTATGAGATTGAAAATTAAACATGGAATTGTTTATAAGATGTTGACAACTATTAAGATGTTTGTGAAAAAAAGAATATGTCAGCAAAAAATTCACCAAGTGTTTGCATCGTGCTTCCAAATGGTGTGACTATCTATTAATAAATTTGTTTATAAACAGTATGACATAACTCTTCATAAACAGATATAAACACAATTTTTCTTAAAAAATTTTCACCACAGAATGAAACTTTCTCTCTCTTTTTTCTCACTCTTCGTTTCTGTTAATCTTTGGCAAAAAGATACAAAATATTTTTATAGAACTAAGTGTAGTTTGTCGAACAGAATTTCGCGCCACATTAAAGACGTGTCTCTTTCACCTTGCAAATATCCACGAGCGATCGCGTCGGCGGCATGAAGTGCGTGTTCGGAAGTGCCCGCGGACGCAGACGCGGCTGCGGCGGCAGCCGCACCGGGACTCAGGGACGGTGGTAAAAGCAAAGCGGACGCGCCGGATATACCGGTGGCAAGAGGCGGTAGCATCCACGGGTGTCCGGCTGCTCCCGGCGCCGGCCAGCCCGCCGGTAGATGATGGCTGGTCGTCGGATGCTGATGCGAATTGAAATATGGATGCGGTCCAGCGGCCGCATACAGGCCATAACCAGCGGCACGCGCGAATTCCGCGGCCGCGCGTTCAGCCGCGCGGTTTCGCAATATCCGATTGATGCTGCTAACCGACGGCGCTGTCGCGTTACTGCAAACCCCTGAAACAGGTGAATACCGACATTGCGGTCAACGCGAGTCGCGAAGATACCGTTAACACATAATGCCATGAATACGATAAAGATCTCGTTATAAAGTTGTTCACAACTTCGTCATTGTTACAATGTTATAAACATAATGCAACTTTTGACGCTAGATATTTAATGTCAAATTTTTTGAATTGCAATCGTAGATTTTACCCAGCATAAAACTGGCAACAAGTATATAAGGGTGCGGAAACACGGAAATCTGTTAATTTTGTTAAAGCAGTTAATTTTGTTTTCCGCGTTTTCACATTTCTGCGCTTCATGTAATCGCACTGTAATACTTGCCCTTGTCGCAATCTTTAAAATGTTACAATATTACTAAACATTGTAACGTTGCTGCAGCAAGGTCGGTGCTGTATAGTTTAATTAAAAGTGATATAATATTACAAAAAAATAAGAATCTTTATGAAAATATAAAATGCAAGTAATTACAAAAAAAGAATACACAAAATATCACTTCAACTTTGTATTTGTAGGAAATCTCAATAAAAACACATCCAATGTAATATATGTAAAGCATATTTCCGGACTCTTCTAGAGAGAGAAGTACAAACAGTCTTGTTAGTTTTTATCTATATAAGATCTATAGTTACAGCAAAAGATATATCAGTTTACTTATTACATTATAATGATATTCGTGTTAGCACGAATGCTTCGAGAATGGTATGTGTGTCAAGAAGTAAGGTCGCAGAAACGCGTTTCTTAATTCTTTCGTTAAATTATACGTTACTCATATACGTGTAATCATGGACGGTGCATTCGCATGGCTTACAGAGGACGAGCATAATTAAGTAAGGAACACGCTAGTTTATGCATCGCGCTAGCAAAAGACTTAACGTTATGACTAAGCGCGTTCTAAGAGATATATCTACTGCGAAAATTAATCAATGTTAATGTGAGTCAAGTTGATCAATCTTTTGAACGCTTTCGCTTCGCAATATTATATTACGTTACCGCGTATTCATTCTTTATTCACCGTTAAATAATCGATTTGTAAATCATTATCTCTCTTTTCTCTGAACACGTATCCCCCTCAAAAAAGTAACACAAATCAAAAATATAACATTTGTCAAGAGAGAGAGAGAGAGAGAGAGAGAAAAGAAAATTGAATATTTTTTAAATAATTGTTTATAGAAGTATAATCCGTAACTGAAACGTATAGATCTTGGTAATCTTATGAAATTTTTTAAATTTTTATATAATGTAATAATTTAGAATAATTTATATGTTTCGAAATCTTATTTTTCACAGATTTATTTCTGTTTTATTGATATTATAATTATATACTGTACTATATTTATTCCAAGTCCAGATTTTGCAATTTCTTATATAGTTTTAGATTTTAAACTATTACAGATTAAACATAAGTTAATATAAATTAATCATAACTTGTGTTTGTGTTTCAAGTTTTAAGTTTAAAAGTAATATAAATATTAATTTTAGGTTGTGTTATGTTAGATAGTCCTAAAAACTATCCTTTGTGATTTATATTATTTTTCTCATTTTTATAATTATTTTTATTTTCTATTTATCTTGTATTATTTTTACTGATTGAAAGCCAATGTATTTAAAACACTATCCGCACATAATATTAAAAAAAATTTCGACTGGTGTCATCTTGCAGGGATATGACTCGAAAATATCATTCCAATAAGTGCCAATTTGGCAATTATTATTCTTACAGCAATTATTAATCTTACCTTCGGAGATTAGCCTCTCCCGGATTTCCCAAGCGAAGATAGTCGGATTCTCCCTTTTATATTGTTCGATCTTAGCGACGACAGCCGGTGTCGCTACTTTCGGCTTACTGCCACCGATCAGACCCGGTGGGCGCAACGTACCTGAAACACGATAAAGTGGGCTTCAAGGACACGATGCATTGGCAAAACTCCTGGCCCTCGATAAAATCGCTCGTAAATGGCGCCGCGACATGGCACATTTATATTTTGCGCCCTATTCGGCAACTCGGTCGTGCCAAAACTCGCGAAACTCGCCGTAATTCCCAAAAATCACGCGATGCACGCGCCTTGGAATCCGAATGTATCTTTCACAGGCATGATTGATGTGAAAAGAGTGATAATTGTAACATTATATATTATAATTGAACGGTATATTAAATGTAATTTGTTCCATTCACGTAAACATTCGATCACCTTGGATATTGTTCCATACAAAGTGTATTAGAATAGTGTTTTATTATGCTCGTTTCTAACAACGTAAATTAACTTTAACTCTCTATAAAACGACCCTTCGTTAGAACACGACGAAACCGAAATTGTTAATAGTACTTTAATTAATTTAGTGAAACTAATTAATTAAGTGTTTATGAGGTGTTTATTAAGTATTAATTTAGTGTTTGACATAGGTATGTATGGAATTCCATAACTTAGAAATTTGTATGTATGGAGTGCTCCACCGACCCTACTCTTGCTCCTCTCTTCTAAAGTTATATAGGGACATTTAATTTAAATAAAACATTAAAATATCGGTCACAGTTATAAATACATATATTTTAAGTCTACTATTTAGATTCACTGCGCTGTCATATATTCCACAGAAACCGAAGTTATAATTTACTACTCGTGGGAAAGACAATGAGCAACGCAGCAGTCAATTAGTCATGAATTAATTAGTACCTACAAGTGAATGCTAAGACGCGCACAGCTCCATAAGCATACATATCATAAGTACGAAAAGGTTACCTGCATATCATCGATTGCATATTGTTGATACCGTAAAAGACGTACATTATTCTAACGAATCAAATTTTAATGTGAATTTATAATATATAAAATTACTATAAAATACATACATATATTATAGTTAAAATAATTTATCACATTGTTATGTCGATTATGATAAAAAATAAAATCAAGCTTATTACACAAAGAGAACAAATTAATCAACAATAAAGATATTGTAAACTGAAGATATAATTTAATGACAAATAATTGAGTAGAAACGAAAATATACAATAATATAATATCAATTATATAATTGTGTATGAAAACTTTATTAAACAGTGACGATTGATACGTTTTGAATACATTGCAATCGCAATCAGAAAGAAGATTAATTTCTGTTAAAGTATTAAAAATTTTTTAAACAATTTTGTTGGACCATCAAAATTATCTTCCAAATTGTACACGTTTTCAACAAAATCGTTCTTTCCGTGTGCATTATATTAAAAAATTCCTCTTTTCTGTCAATGTTACGCTATTACTAATAATATGTAGGTATTCAAAGTTGTATACGTTGCGCTTAAGATATACCGCGTATCCGCTGTTTTTGCCCCGTTTCTCGCGAGCGACACGATAGAAGCGAAGAAACGAAAGTCACGCTCGCGTGCTAATATCAACGTCAACCATCGGGCGTAAAGGGTCCCTTTCGAGACTCGCCTCCCGACCCCAATTACGCGCGGATTCATCGTGGAAGGACGCGTCGTTCGTACTTAGATGCATGCATCATCCGTCATTCGCGTTCTGTGTCGCGCGGCGCGGACTGCCGAAGCGACGGAAGAGAGAGACGGAGGGAGGGAGGGAGGTATCCGTCAATCCGATGCCGAGAAGATTGTGAGAGGTAATGGAAACCAGAGGCGCAGGCAGACTTGAGCAATTATCGGTCGTTACGTACTATTATTAATAACAATAATGATGGCTAAACCCGGCAGAGGGTATCGCGTGCGCTCCCACGGATCAAGTGCGTGCCGGGTATATAAACGATGTATCCACCTAATAGGTATCCATGCCGCGAGCAAATTCCTTGCCTGCTATCCCGGTCTTTCTCCACGTTTCTTCCTCTCTTCGTCCTTTAGCTCCTCGTCTGTCTTTCCCCGTATCTATCTTTCCACCGCTCGATCTCTTCCCACCCTTTAGTTTTTCATTGTTGCTCCATTCGGCTTACTCCTTCGATTTGCTGCTTCTATGTGCACGTGCGTGCGTACATAAAATTTTTGAGAACCGACAGAGCGTTTTTAATAAAAGAAACCGCACGAAGCCAATTTCGTTAGCCGGTTAGGGTTACTCGCGCGAGTATCAAGTAGATGGATCGTCGTGGTTACAGGCCGAGAAGGCTGTATTCAACGGCGCGTCGCATGCGTGCGTTCGCGGCCGAGGTGATCTCTTTTATGAATTGATAATGAGAGATTAGTGTAATTATACGGCGAACGTGTATGTAAGAGCGTCGCGATGGAAACTACGAGCAAACAACCGCGGAACGCCTTCGGCATTGTCCACTCGCTGTCCAGTTATCCGCACTAGTGACGTGTGTTGAGCTTATACAACACACGCTTGAAATTTTCGGCATTTATCTCGCGTAGTCTCTCAATCCGTCTTTGAATCAACTCTTTGTATATAGCGAGGAGTTGAAGCCGCAACCTCTCAAGACACGAAAATCGATATAATCGAATCGTATTTTTAGTATCATTAATATGAATAAACGATCGCGATATAATTCATATCTGTTGTATACAATCGTAGATGCACAATAAGGGCCAAAGCATACAAAAAAACTTGAAGACAGTAAGACGTAAGCGCAGTGAGAACATGTTGAATTTATTACTTTTTTTTTATGACCTTATATTCTCAACTATGATTCGCTTACGTTTGTGCTCTTTAAGTTTTTCTACATGCTATATGGTCCTAAGAATAGCCTATGCGTTTCTACGTTATAATATGGAACTCTCACTATCGGTTTAGACATAAAAGAATAGAAAACGCATTCCCCCTGATTTTTTAACATCTTCATTAAAAAGCACATCTCTTCAATTCTAATAATATCTTTCTTCAACTCGATATTTTAAAGAGAGAGAGAGAGAGAGAGAGATGCTGATATAGTTAAATTCTTTCTAACAGAGCACATATGCTAAAATAGGGGAATGTGCAATACATCTATGTCGTTTATGTCGGCGACCATAGTTAGGTATAACGCCACTTGTCTCCTAGCTTCTTGAATTGCGTAAAAGGGGCCACTCGCTCACGCCGAGGGGATTAATTGTTCACTGTCGTTAAGTAATTGGTCGGCCGATTATGGTACATTATATTCACCTCGGACGTCTAAGGAGCCCGTATCCAGTGAGATGAAGACATTACCGGCGCGCCACGAACGGTATTTTTACGAGCGGCTCGTAAAGTTAACGAGGACCGCGAGGCCTACCTATAGGCATGAGGTCTCTCTACGAGAAACTTGAGCGTTCCACAGTGATGCTCGGTGGCTCGTCTCCATTTTTTTATTGTTTGCCTCGGCGCGCGATTCTTCTTCCTCTTCTTTTGCCCTTTCCTCCTCCTTCTCCTCCTCTTCCGTACCTTTTCTTCTTCTTTCTGGCCTTTCCTCGAATGCGATCCGGGCTTTCCGTTCGTTCGTACCCAACAATTCTCGTTTTCGTTTAGAGTCTAAATCTCCGCAAGTTTCACCGCGTTCTCGCATGCAAAACCGCACTTGCGTACTCATCTCGAAAGCACCTCGATCTGCATTTAACTCGTGACGGTCGAAGATACACGGTACGAACAGCAACACGAATAGTCACGGAGAACGCAAATGTCGGGAAGCTCAGGCTACAATTTCTTATAAGCGTTTGGCCCTGAGATATATATTTTTTTCTTGAGAGTTGTAAATGATGTAAATCTTTATATTGACTAGAAAGGAAACGGCATGATGGGAGACACTTTCATTGAAGTTGATGTAATTTAATTTAAAGCCAGATACGGCAAATTCATAAAATTTCAAAAAGCAGCAAGAATCGAAACTTCGTATTAATCTCCTGGAATGTAGAGAGACTGGTGCAATCATATTGGTGAATTATTCAAGTTTGTTGTGCCGAGGTGCTGAAATTTAATGCGTGAAAGAAGTAGTTATTACGTGTTAATTCTGGCGAGCTAACGAGCTTCGAGTGGCTGATGCGCTCTTCATAACGCTCGTTATGTCTGACCATGCCTTTTGTAAGTTTGAGGCTGTCCTCTGCCTTGCTTGGAATCGTTCGAAACGTTAACGCGGTATCGTTTGTGGTCGCCGGTAATTGCCGCGTGAATCACAGAGAAAAGGTACAATATTCGAATTAAAAGAGGTACACACAGGAAGAGGGAAGGGGGGGGGGAGAAGAGAGAGAAAGATCTATATAAGAAAATAGAAGAAAAGATTTAAATATAAATAAGTCTTATCCCCTTGTTTTAAAAAATAAAGAGAAAAGAAAGCGTCCAGTTAGATAGGAAAATATTATGTTAGTATTGTTTCTCTCTCATGAGTAGGAATTATTTTAAAACTTTATTTGACAAATATATGATAAAAACCTTTTATATCTAATAGTTCTCGACTTTGGAAAATCTTCTCTTATGCATCTTCTCCACAATATCTATTTTTCTCTCATTTCCGAAGGATCGATGATATTCTCGGAACGTAGAATATAAATGGATGATTTCTGCCTTGACTTTCGTATCGAAATTACGTACGTACATAATGCGTGCGTGGCGCTCGATACTCGCGATAGGTACCTATAGTGGTTGACGAACATAATAGCGATATGTCAACGGAGTAGTTTCCCTACGTAAGTTCTCGTGTTTGGAATGTCAGCCAATAATTTGCATATTCTTATCGTCAACGATAAGAAAAAGAAAAAAAACAACGTCGGGTATAATATATATCGAGCGTATCATGAACGCGATTCTCCTCGCGTAAGGCAGCTCGCGGTAAATCGTAAAAATATACTTTACAAACCTAAAAGTTTTGTAACGACTGCGCCCTGTTGGTTTAATGACAACACGTGATTGGCGAGATCGTTGTAATGCCTGAGTGCTCCTAATCCATGTGACAATTCGATTAGACGTTGCCGCGATGCGTTGCCGTTATTGCCGCTAGCGAAAGGACCGGCCGTACAATTTTGTAAATTCACACCTGCAATCAAAGAAATATTTCATTGTAATACGTATAATAACGACTCTAATTGCTGTAGGACGAAATATCGTTCTGTGTTTCGAGATTATTGTATAACACATCTTCTTGACTCTGAATTATTTTCGTACACTGATTAACAAGATTCGAGAGATTGATGATTTTACAGGTCACAATATTATTGTATAACACATCTTTTTGACTCTGAATTATTTTCGTACACTGATTAACAAGATTCGAGAGATTGATGATTTTACAGGTCTGAGATGGATCTACTTTTCTCACAAAGATCCTTTTTAGGATCCCCAAAGTCAATTGAATGCTTCGTTAAATTAACAATCGGCTGCGTAATCGCTGTGACGAAAGTGGTCACGGTCAAATAACTTCACGTTCAGGCACTTTAAGTTGCTAAACGTGATCTCGCGATCCTGTTATTGATACGGTTTTAAAGAATGTTAAAAGCGCAGTCAAGAGATAGGTACCTGTCATTCAAATTATGGTTAATAATTAATTTATATATTTATATTCGCATCGATATTACCTCGTACAGCATCTTTTTAATAGTATCATACATTACTTTGGTTTCAAGTGTTTATCAATGTGATTTCAATTTTCAATGATTATCGTTGCTTTTACATGATCATTAACATGCAAAATCCAATCAACTCTCTAAGTTTCTTGAAGAGTGAAATTTCATTTTAAAAGAATGAAAAATTCAAGTGTTGCAATTTTTTGCAACAAATAATAAATTTGCAAAAATTGCAACAAACAATTATAATAAGCCCGCGTACGTTCTTTTATAGCATTACAAAAAATATTTTCCTGTTACGAGTTAAATAACCGTGACACACGATCTGCGCAACTTCTGATTATTGATACAACTTGATCTGAAAACCACCGGATGTTTCATTTATAGATTTTTTTGTTCTTAGTGAAAATGTAGCGACAGTATTTTTAAATAATAATAAGCCAAAAGGACAAAAATGATACCAAGAAAGCGAAGAATATGCTAAGTGGAAAATTGACTCGTAAGAAATAATCTTCGTGGAAAGAAAACGTAATTACACAGCATAGCCAATAAAATGGCGACAAGGCGAAATGAGGGTTCAAGCGTAAATCGACGCAAGCTTAAAGATAATATGAATTAAATGTGAGATAGATGTTAATTACTGTACCGGCAGTGTCTGCGATCAAAATTATGATGTGCTTATTATAGGTTCAGCTTCCTCGTAATCGCACTGTCGACTAATCTTAACAACGTTTAGTGCGGAGAGTCGCCCAGATGCCAATTTACGATCGAACGATATATGGCAATATAAAGAGCGTGTAATACCTGTCATTTGGTAAACGAGGAGCGCAATAGCTTTTTATCCAGTAGATCTTACATAAGGAGTACGGCGATCGCGGGAGGAGAGACCATCGGATGAAATTAAATTCTGAGTGTTGGTAGAAAACAGGTCCGCCGAGCCTCATTTGTATCGCGTTGTTTTAATTGGTTTCAACGAGTGAACTCAGCGTGAATTCGCGGCAGTTCGTTTACATAGTGAGAACGTCTAATTAATTAGTCCTTTATGAGCTAAGTGTATTGCCAATCAGTTCGGTAAATGCATCTTGCGCAGATCATTTGCAATTTGTAATCGAACGGTCGCTTTCGCACAATTTATGACGATAATATAGTTGAATTATTAATAGCTCCTCATCAGCATATTTAGATTAACTCTGTAATTTGGACAAGGAAAATTGACGTGTGATATTTTTTGGACGAATTTATTATAATGTCGCGATGTCATGTGACTCCGTATGAAAACGATGGATTCGACAGGAAATCGACAGGTCGCAAGTTTAAATTCCGCATTTCAATCGTGTATACGGAAAAATTTCGTAATCCTTACCGATCGAGAGCAGCGCAGATGAAACTCGACTTAACATCTAGAGTGACTCCTTTGACTATGGTTCAGACATGGTTAGGGTCTGTGTTCTACTCATTTTCTTAATCACTTACATATTTTCAGATCTGTATATCTCTAGCAAAAATTTTTAATACTTGAGCAAAATCATTTTATCCGTGTACTTTACACATTGTTAAACGTCGGACATAGTAAATACATTTTACATATTCACATTTTTACGATCTTTTTAGTCTTATTACCATTTAAAAGTATTGTTACTACAATTTCATGTCAATTATATTCGTAAAATTCCCGGGGATTTTTTTGTTGTTGCAAGATTGAAATGCTACTAAAGTTATTTTCCAAGGAATCTCGTTTGCGACGGTTATACTCGAAACGTCGAATAAAACTTGTGCAAATCCCGCGAGTCTCGCGCCTGTCCCATTCGCTTCGAATGGCACATCGGGCGCGCATTCCGCGCTCGTTTCGTGTCAAAGCGATCGGAGGTGTCGTGAAAACGAAAGTAGCCGATGCACAGAAAGAAATGCGTCCCATCGTTGCATCGACACCAAGCGGGAACCGGTTCTGAACGAGTTCTGGCATCAGGCCTCACGGTATATTCGTCCATACATTCGAAATCGCCGCCGGTAAAGACCGATCGCTTGACACGACAGTAATAGATAATAGAGAGAAAAACTGGAAGGTCGATTCTCTTTCTGCGGACTCGGCGACTTGGTGCGATCATTCACTTTGCGCTTCCGATGAGTGGTTTTATCATCTGGACCAAGTCTGCTCAGATGGTTTCAAGTAAAATCGCGTCGCATTACGAGTGTTTGCTGATGATGCACGAATTAAGTTAACTCTTAAATGCAGACCGTTCGTTTGTCACACAAAGATAAAACACACTTGAATCATTCAAAATAAATGTTCAAAGGGAAATGAATGCATGCAGTGTCAAGTTCATGTCATATAGAAAATGAATCGAATATAGAGTCTAACGAATGGCATAACTTAAGCTATATTTAAATTGATTTTTTGAAATGCAATCTGATAATATTGTTTACGAATTATTATAAAAGTTATAAATAAATCCGATAATTTTACATAGTAGCTCCTGCTTGTTTTTGTGTGCGGAAAGTGCTAATCCTTCTTAAAATACGATACGATAATTTACGTTGTTTCCGATGTTGAGCTCAAGCTAAATACATATAAATACATATGTAGTCTAAATTTTCAAGATATTTACCTTATAATAATTTTAATCGAGTAGAAATCAAACTTTGTGTGTAAGTAAAATTGGAGCGTATATTTATTTTGCATTTTTTTACACGCGCAAAAAGGTTTAAACACATAGATAGTTTACACTCAAGGACGACATCTCGCAAAAAAAATCATATATTATCGGACTGTAATTTGTACAGAAATCGTGTTAAAAGTCAATTATACATAGTCGATAATAATTGATATACACATGATACAGACAAGCATTTTACGTAATAACTCGTTGATTGATGGAGTCCATGACGAGATGGTACACCCAAGAAAGAATTGAGAAGGGACTCATCTACAAATAAAAATATCCATACTTTTTGACATTATATGTTTTAGATAAATTTAGAAAGTAATAAACATGAAGTTTACACGGAAAGAACAATTTTGTACTTCTTATGTACCAAATCCGTATATAATAGGCACTGTTGGCATTACCCGAGCAATGTTGACATTGCACATTAAGCAACTTCCGCGTAACATAGGTCTAAAAATTTATATGAATACAAGTCTGAAAATAATTTTGTTGGTTCATCAAGAAAGAAGTATCTTATCACCCCCCCCGTGCCATAAAATGGATGTTATTATTTATAATTTACTAGACAAGTCTAGTTAAATTTTTATGGATACTTGAACAAAATTAGTGTCGAAGAATGAATACTGCCAAAAAGGAAATTCTTAGCGAATTCCTTGTAACCTGGTTAGCAAGTATAGTATATTCTACGCGTAATTAGTGCATATATCTTTGATCGGACGATTGGTAACAAAGTGCCGCGCGAAGACAGCTATTAGCCGCGAGGTATACCTGTTTCAAAACACTCTGGGTGTGTACGATCGTAAAATCCCAATCCCGTGGCATCGTCTGCTACCAAGTATCGAGTTGAACGTCGGAAACAACATGAAATCGTATCGAATCTTAAGCAGGATTAGCGCACGCAAAACAAGCAGGAGCTTGTCAAACTATCGGATTCATTTATATAACTTTTAATTCGCCAACAGATTGCATTTCAAACAGTCGATTTAAACATGATGATTTAAACTACTTCATTCTTTCTAAATAGAGACAACTTATTTATAATAGTTCGCAGACTAATATAATTCTTATTGCGTTTATGATTTTGATGATGAACGCTACATGGTCGGAAAAGAATGTTACTCTTTCAATGCAATCATTAGATATGACTTGGTTATTTATGTATTATATTAGTATCTTTCATATGACAGTTGATATGGTCAAGTGTCATAATGTGCTATCAGAACACCTGAAACACATTTTCTTTTGTCCTGTCTTGTCTTTTTCTCTTTCTTTCTGCTCGCTCGCTCGCGAAGACGTTACGTACATGGTATCTGCCTCGAAACGATCTGGGTGTGGTCGTAAAATCTCATGGTTCTGGAACGAAGTGCTCCATGAACGCGAGAGAATCGAGAGTACCCGCGGGATGGACGGGTATTGAGCGTTAAACGAGAGTAATACGTTCGCCGATCCGAAGAAAAGTACTCGCGTTGCCAACGCATTGAAACCGGTTCCGAATGAGTGCGATACTTGGTAGCCCCCGTGCTCCGTCTGGCAAGTGCAAATCGTGAAAAAATCCGCGAACGCGCGGTAGTTGAACATGTCGTCGTAGGCGCATATCCCAATCGAGCACTTCCTTTTATACTTTTATCAACGGTTTTACGAGGCAAGCTGAGGCAAGCAACTATAGGGAGCATTTCACGCTGCAGCAGACATTCGTGCATCGCAGAGAGCAAGTAAACAGTCCGCCGCATTACACTCGTTTTTTGACAACTCAATTAGCGGCTAAAAAGAGGCGACAATAATCATTGATAATGATCCGCGACAGAACGCATCGTGTTTGTTTAGAGTATTTTACGCAAAAAAAAAAACTTTGTTTATATTTGAATATTGTATCTATTCTTTAATATTTGTTAAAAATTTAGCTAGATGCAGATCTGAAAATAATTTTGTTTGGATCATCAAAATTATAACTATAAGACATATTAAAGTTGATTGTTAGAAATTAAAAGATACTTTTTGCAGTATCATCAAACTTTCTATATAATTATTTCGATAATTGAATAATATTATTTTCAGATCTGTATCTAGATAAATTTTTAATTACTTTAGCAAAATGTTCTTTTTCTACATAATATTTTGAAACTGTTTGAAATTTTGTAAACTGATTTATTTGATATAATATGAATTTTATGATGAGACGATTAAAATCGTGACAATTCTGAAATATCTCTGAAACAAAAATTATTTCGTATATATGGATATTGTACTCTTCTATTTTTACGATTTACACAAGTTGAACATTATATAACATTTCAAAATTGCGATCAAGATTCTGCAATCTTCCTGAGATTTTTTTAAAAGCGAAAAATCCTTCCATTAATCCGTTGGTTATTACACGACAAGTTCTGTACAGGTGTTTGCCTGTACAGGTGTCCAATGTTAACTGTTACCATCTCGCATCGAAAGGTTCGCGCGGTGAAAGATCGTGAGGCGATTCATAATTTAATTAGTTATTTGGTTATCTCTCATCAAAACAAGATATAATCGCTATACTCATTTGTCGATCGTCGTATGCGTCACATATTTAACTTTTACGTTGTCTGGAACATAGAGTGATTAAATTGTGTGTTACTGTTATTATATTTGTAAATTATAGGTTTATTAGTTGTTCAATATAACGTTAATAATAAATTAATAACATACTATTATGTGAAATGTATGTACATAAAACAAAATATAGTTAATCAGAGGATTTTTTTAATTTGTTTAATTTTGTATTTATCGAAATAGTCAAATTTTATTTCAAAAGCATACGATGCTATCACACATGTCAAAAAACCTTGACAAAATCGATAATAAGCGAATTTTCCAAGAAAAATTATTTTATTATCATAAGTTTTAAAAAATTCCCACGTTTTTTGCTTCGTTATTTCGTTCCATTAATTATTGTCTCTATTTTTAATAGTCGTTAAAGTATATTCAGGTGTTTCGGATATTCGGTCTTTTCATGAAATAACAATTTGAAATTTCAATATTGCCGTATTGTACAATTTTGGTATAATAAAGCCCATGAAACACACAATTGTAAATAATGATACGTGACGTATTATCGATTTATCATGACGCAACGAAATTAATTGGGTTTCCTTTGCTTACACATGTATATGTACACACGTCTTATCTCAGTATCCAAGAAAGAAAGCGAAATCAGAACGTATATAAAAATATTTCTATAACAGAACACATCTCTATGTCGCGTTTAGTGAGTATTAATTAAAATTTGTTACAACGCGTATATGGTAGTTATATTTAATTGCAACATGAAAATGCTCAATGAAAATAGCATCATTAAGATCTTTCTAAGATGTTTATGAGCAAATTGTTAAATTATTAGTTAATTTAATTTATGATATTGCTACAGTTGTTTAGTCAAATTGCATTTTGAGACCGAAAAATCATTTCGATGCGCAGTTTAAATAACTAAGTACGTAATACTAGGTATATAAATTCAGCGAATTATCTGAGAAAGTACCAGAGTACCTACTTGAGCGTTAAAGATTTTATTCTTTACTTGTTATATAATCACATTTACAGTTTTTAGAAAATTCTTTAATATTGTTGAATGAAAACATTTATCTTATCATATTGAACATTCCGCGCGAATCAATTATTATAATGAGTTTAGGATATAGCTGAGGATCTCAAGTGTTTATACACGGAAAGAATTTGGCTAAAATTTACTGATGGATACGAATCTGAAAATAATTTCGTCGTTGGATCATCGAAGTAATTTTATTAAAAATTTAAACTGATTGCTAGAATATCACACTCTTTTGCACTCTTTATTTTTTAGTTTTCGACATAATTATTTGGATGATCCAATCCAGCAAAAATTTAGTTCTTTCAGTAAAACCGTTCTCTCCGTGTATCTTTAAACGATTTGTATATATGAGACTGTGCTTATTCTAAATAATGATTTATTTGATACTTGTTAATGGAGAACTAAATCGTGTGAAAAGAAAACAACGAAAAAGGAGCGCGGGAACTTAAATGGAACGTTAAATCGAATTCGACGAGAATAATCGGATTCGATTCGACTTCGCATTTCTATACTCACCATCGATCAGGGAAGCAGGTACATTCAACTGATGATGCGCCGCCGGATGGTGATGGTGCGGTGGATGTACCTGCAGCAGGTGCGATCTCGTCTGGGAGAAGGTCGGTGACGGTGGTTCCCAAGGTCGGGCAACACCAGTGCTGGCGGGAACGTCTTCGTCCTGGCAGCAGAACTTGTCGCTTGCGCTTGAGGCGGTCGTACCGGTGCAATTCGCGACTCCATGTCCGTCATTATTGTTGATACTAATCTCTCCGTTATTATTATTGTTATTGGTACCGCTACTGCCATTGTTCGTGAGACGCGTGGTAATTGCGCCCGTTGCTGGGCTACCACTACCACTAGCACTGCCACTGACACTACCACTGCCAATGCCGTCGACCTGTACCATTTCGCTGTCGATCGCAGCCGCCGACTTGGCAGTACCAGGAGGGGTCGCGACGCCGCCACCGATCATCATCACCAGACGATCTCACCTCCGCCCCCTCCACGCTCAGCAACGGCTCCTCCCTCCTCCCGTTCTTCCTCCACTTCTGCGAATGTCTGTCTTCGAATCACTTCCGTTTTTCGCCGTCAACGGACTTTTCCTACACGAATACTGAATGCCTCCTGCTGATTAACGTATCATCTGGCATTACTCTCGTTCGAAGGATAGCGATTAAGATAATATTCTCTTATGCGTTATTGAGCAATACCGCTTGACGAGCATTTCTCGGCCTGTGGAAATGATATATCGTAGTTAAGGTCGTATGTTTCGCCATTGTCCAAAATTCGAATATATACTGCACTGTTTACGTACGCATCAACAGAGTCCGATACGGAAATTCAACGCATTCCCGTCTTATATCCTCGTCGAATATCTGCAGTTCCCATTTGTTTTCAAAAAACTTGAACTTATCTTCATTCAAAACTGCAGTCCACACTAAACTGTCATCACGTGGACAGCCACTATCATCCTTCTGACAGCACGCGGACTCGCGTCCCATAAGACGCAAAATCGACGACCGAATCGCTACGGAACTGATTAGCAGAGCGGAATAACTTGTCCTACGATCGCGCGATGACGATCGTGACGCATCGCGTCGCGAGCTTTTACGTCGGCCGTCGCGACAGCCTAGTCGAAGCCGAGGAAACGAAGGCGCGGAATACTGAAGCGCAGGCGCCTTCGATCAAGCTCGTTCTCCTCCTTCTTCTCTCCTTCTCCTCCTCCTCTTCTTTCTTCTCCTCCACCTGGTCCTCTTCCCTCTCCTGGTGCTCTTTCTCGCGTGTCGATCGCCCTCTCGTTTCTTCCGCCTACGAGGGCTCCCTTCTCCAATGACAGGCAACGAGGGCTACTACGCGGTATAGCTACCGGGGTAGCTTGCTCGCGCTCCGCCGGATTCGAGCGGATTGCCTTCCGCTCGGGGTTTCGAAGCGCACCCAGACCTACCCCCTCCCGCGACTTGCCGAGGTGAGATCAAGATTTAATGTGACGTGACTCGCTCCATATACGCGACCGATTTCTCCCCTCGTACCCCGTTCATCTTTTTCCTTTCGACACACCAGATCACCAGATTCTTTGCGCACTATCCCTATAGGTATAGAAAAGAAATCGTAAAAGAGGGAAATGTGTGAACTTTGTGGCACGAAAATTATTCTTCTTCTCTTATTTCTATATCCCTTCGACAGTTCTACTGCTCCTCATCGATGCACCATTTCTCTTGTCACGCGATCGACTTGCCGAAGCTGTCGTGCTCGAGCGAGAGGAATATAGGTTTTTCAATTCGTCTCTTTTTATAGAGGGTTCCTGTTATCGGAGCTTCTACAACGCGCGACACGGCTTCGCTTCGACAGCGCGGTGTACTCTCTTGAAAGCACCCTTCTCTCCACGCACTATCTTTGGACGGCCAGACACGAGTGCGTTACGCGAGGCAACCTGCTCGCTCTCCGCCGTATTCGAGCAGATTGCCTACCGCCGCCGTGCGCTCCGCTCGAAGCGCGCCCAGACTAGCCTTACCCCCACCTTATACTCTTCCCGCAAAAGACTCCGCTCTTCCATGCTTCTATCCGCTGAGAAGAAGAGATCAAGATTTAAGGCATCGCCGCGTCGCGGTGGACGTGCCGCGGAGGGGAGGTGGATATGGGGGAAAGAAAGTGGCCGCGGTTCAAACTTTCGAAGACGCTGCTGATTATATCCAGGTCTGATCGTAAAGGGTGGATACCGAACGCGGGGGCAGGAGAGATCCCATGGCATATCTAGTCGAATGCGATATACAGACCAGGTGGGGAACGAACACATCGTGGGGATGTATGGTAAGAAGAAAGAGAGCCGATAAAGCCAGCCAAGTGCGCATTGCTGGCCGCGCATCTGAGCTTACCCAACGCCCACCAACCATTACCGAGTCGATCGACCAATTGGGCGATCTGGTAGCCGCCCACCGATCTGGTGCACTCACTACCGCGTCGCCCACGCTTTTAAGCAGCGGCCTTCCGTTCTTCTCTCTAACCGGTATGATTCTTCCTGTCGATCGTTGCCAAGACTGTCCTAATACAATTTTACTATTGGACCCTCGGGGATAATCGATATACGATCTGACTTAACCTCATGAAATTAGGGTGCGAAATAATTGTCTGTAAGTAGGATACAATGCAGAGAAGTTTTATGGCGAAAATCTATTATATTAAATAAATTATTCTCGAGATTATAAGAAAAATGTTTGGTTGAATTAACTAGAACTCTAATAGATATAAAATATATAACAGTTTCGTAATTGTCATTTATTTACGTATCGTTAGCACATCGTTACATCAGTTCTTTGAAATTGATATAAATGGAGAACAATCGGGCAAATATCGATCGATTTCAAGACGCATATAAATAATAGTTACATTATACCTATAATTCATATGCTATAGCTGCTTAACGTATATTACGAGTATGTCCTATGCAGTATATGTGAAAGATAGTTGTGTCAATAATGGCACTTATGGCGGTTAGTGCAGATAATTGTTAATGGGAAGAGACAGATGCTGATAATAGTAATTTAAGAACAGCAAGACCATTTTATATACACACTCCACTGCTCTCTAAATAATAGCGCAATATATTTAATTATAGTTTCTAATAAGAAGGCGTTTCCCCATGAAACTTGTAACTTCCTCGATATTATATTGCCTGTTTATCACTTAATTTTAATAAATAACATTCTCAAAATTATTTAAAACACTTTTATAAACAATTATATATACAGATGTCTACAATGATCAGGGACCAAATATGGAAAAGGTTTAAACAAACTTTTATCCAAAAATATTTTATTAAACGTTCAAAGATTTACAAGCGGAATGTTTGTGTGTATTTACTACTATTTTTTTAATAACAATTTGCTATTTTTAATACAGTAGGAATATTCGAAATAATTAATTTGACAAATGGAAGCCTGCATTCTTTCAAAAAAGAAAGAATTTTCAAACATATAGTTTTTATTGTACCTAATAATTGATAATATCGCATTTATTACATACTAATAAATGTCCGGAAATTCTTTTTTCTGAAAGAATGTTGCAGTCTTTTGACTTCAATCTACTACTCGACTTCATTAACACACCGTACAGGTTTTTGGTCCCAGTCGTTACGGACACCCTGTATACATATACATGAGGATGTAACCGGTACGTGCCATGCAAACGGGTCTCTTCTTTCTATAATTAACGCTACAATGCATCGCACGTTTCGACGGATTGAATGGATTTGAGATCTGCCGGAAACTTGAAAGTTTATGTTTGAAAATATCGTATTGAATTTAAGGAGAATTCCACTTTATCGTAACCATAAACATAAAGTACATTTTATCCAAGGCATAGTTTGGAAAAGTTCTTAGAACGGAAGATGTTTTATGGACATTTTCAGGACGTTCCGTGAAAAATTTATATTGTATGGAAAAAATAATTCAAGACGTCACGCAAATTTCAACGGTCAGTGTTTATGTATTATTATTTTGAGATTCAATTTTTCCTTATCTGGTTAACTTGTGGTTAAATTTAATCTACTGTTTCACTCTATATAGATTTCATCTACGATATCATTAGATGAAGCCCATTGGAGTAACCATCAGATTGAGCCTAATCACAAGTTAATCAGAAAATAAAAAGCTAAACCTAAAATAGATTATTTGAGCAAAAATTAACAACTTACAGATTGCTTTTTTAACAATAATAATTACTATACTTGATACAACTATATTTGGTAGAAAGAATAATTTTGCTGACGTATATTTAAAAATTTAGTTGGATACAAATCTGAAAATAGTTTTAATTATAATATTTCACAATCGAAATAATTACGTAAGAATACCAAAGTTCAACCTGTTTGAACGTTCGGTATAATTATTTTGATAGATAACATCGATATAAGATGCCAAAAGAGCATCAAATAATTATTAAATTGTTACTCAATTTAATCCGTGATAGTATTGCGATAGTTTATTAGAGTCGCGTTTCAAGACCGACAATTGTTCGGCGCGCAATTTAGAAAGACTACATATATCAGAATATATAAATTCACGCGAAATTATATATAAGCAACTAAGCTAGACTGTCATAGGCTTCGTATTCGTATTAGTTATGTTGTTACATTAACGGTCTTTAGAATTGAACATTATTTTCACAAGAATTATATTATTTTGATAGTCCAATAAGATTATTTGCAGATCTCTGTATTTAACTAAATTTTTGGATGCTGCGTTATATAAAACCGGTCTTTTCGTGTAGAATCTTAATTTAGATTAAAACAACTAAGTATATCTCAATGAATATTATCAAATATTCGGTCTTCGAACGAGTATGTGTCTACCTACACAAAATTGGAGACTCATTCGATACATAATGTGCAAATGCTACTAATAATGGTTATAAACTAATTAATAAGATTAATTGTCTAAGCAGCTAAATAAATTAATTCTTATTTCACCAATTCGCATAATATAAAGTTATCTAACCGAGAGACGATAGCGGTTTCCCGCCGGTAAATCGTTCGGCATCGAGAGATTTATGTTAATTCGCAACGACTGGCAATTTTATGCTCCTATTTTGCGTTACGTTAGAATTTTTGCAGAATCGTTTAATCGTTACGTTCGAACAAAGAACAAAGGAAGGAAAAGTATAAAATCATCAGAGCCCGCGTGTCCCCGACAAAATTACAAGCCGCGCGATTACTCACCGCGAATTAACGCAACATGTGCTACATTGTTGCAAAAGTAGCAAAACATTCGTGACTGTTATTATCATTCGTGCGACGTGAATATGCGTAGTCGTGTGTCGTGCGAAAAAATAACGAGTCAGGCATCTGTTGAAAACAACTATTAATTACTGCATCAACGTATTAACTTTTATTGTTCTCAAACTTGTGCGGAATGAAGGAATCAAATGATAATGAATTCGCTGACTGAAATGAAAAATTAATGTATCATCGAACAGATC